TATGGAATCGAAATGCAAAACTATAAGAATCCTACACACATCATCACACTTTTCTATCATGAAACACGAAACAACTCTTTTCTTTGGTCTATCTTATCATTTCATGCTAATTTAATAAATGAAACAGTGAATTTTTACAATTTAGAAATGGTGTTAATGTAAATAAAGTAGAAAATACTACACGAAAAATCAAAATCGTAATATTGTAAATAATATTTTCATAAATAATTGATGTCCCATAATGTTTAGGAAAAACAATTAAATAATGATAAACTCCTATTGTTAACAATTTGGATAAGTTAGAAGTAGTGGAACGATATTCTTACATTTTCCTCATCTTCTTAGTGTTTTATTTTTTTTACACAGTTTTGTTAGAAATGCATAAAATCCGCATTACTTCACGGTAATGTTCCCTAGAAGTCGAAAAGTTTTGCTACTGCTTGATAATTTACAAACGTTTAAGAATGATCTCAGTGATAGTTTGTAGCTTGAGGTAGAAAACAAGAGTATATAAAACAAAATGTTATTTACATGAAACAGGATTCGGCAGGCGTCGATCGGCTTTCTATCTCCACTGGAAGTAGCGCTGCACCGATGCAATCAAATAAAGATAAATGTACGAAACTTCTCGGATATGCAAGTAAGTATCCCTCGTACACTTCGTGACTTTCTCTTTGTGTCCCCTCGAGGAGCAAGTTTGAAAAACAGGTAACGCTACGATGAGATAGATTATCGTCACAACTAACTTAAGATACAGTCCGTGCTACAGAAGAAACTAATCCTAAAATGACACACCACCAGAGTCGGAAGTTGGATTAAGACTGTCCATCCGAAAGCAAACTGCATGTTGTAATGTCTGTGGCCAGTTTCCCCTCCGATCAGTAGCTTACGTAAACGCGGGAAATATTTCTCTGCTACGGACACAGTCGCCACAATTCGTAATGAAAACAAGTCGACAGAGAAGATATATTTCTTGTCACACCGTCACCGAAATTCAGATGAAGTCGTTTGTGTTCTATCTGCACGCGAATTCAATGAAAACTGATTTTTCTCATTTCTCTTAATTCCTTACACTACATTATGTAAAGAAAGTGCCAGAAATTTATAAATAAAACACGAACTATTTATTTATTCATCAAAATTGACTCTGCCGCTTTCAAAATGGACCCCATCCAAGGCAATACTCCTTCTGCGAATACTCACATGGGGCCAGAGGTGAGTAATATTTATAGTGAAAGTATTTGAAATACTACAATATTTTCAATAATAATAGATTCTTCACAATTCAAATAAATGTAGAACATAAAATTTCAGTAAATAAGATATTTTATTTTGATAATCTCCACAGGTTAAAGCACAAAATATACATTTTATTTCGATAATGTAAACCGTAAAATAAAAATGTATATTTTGTTAATTTAAAGCTAAAGCATGAAAATAAATATTTTATTTTAATAATCTAGAACATAAAGTAAAAAATATATATTTTTAATAACATAAAGCATAAAATAGAATACTTCCCATAATTCTTAACTTGAAAATAAATTGTGAAAATAATTAACGTAATGTAAAAAATCATAATATTTGGTAATGAAATTTGTTGTCTTTTTAAATGCAGCTATTATAACAAAGTGCACCTTGTATGCACGTATTTAATGGAGAGGAAAAGTACTTCATTCATTTTATATTATCAAAATAATTATATTTTACACTATAATTTTATACAATAAAAATATTTCATTTGATGGTAATAAATTAAATAAATAAAATATTTCGAACTATGGCACAAATATATTCAAATATATTCTTTCGGACAAATAAAATATTTCATTTCTAAAAATACATGCATGATATAAAATAAAATATCTATGATGCGATTCGTGAACGTAGTCAGATTCGTGACGAACATTTCATACATAATCTACTAATATGAATGTTATGCATTTTCAAAATTTGGTTATTTTGTTAAAAATAAATTGTCTTCCTAAAATCT